GGTTCCAGCTGGCAGCTGTTAGCTTGGAGGAGCTCACCTGCTTACATGTGCGGACCAAACAGCACTGTTATGAAGTGACAGGCTGGGAAGCACTGATAGGGTAGTTTCCATTACTCCATATTAGAATAATTTTTAGTTACTGTTTTTTGAATAGAAAGTCACATGTTGCCAATGATTTTTATGTCAAACTCCAGTTAAAAATTTTTATTGGGAATTTTACATTTATTTTTTCATGAAAAAAATTTACTGTTGGTTTTCTTCTGAAATTTTCCTGGCTCAGTGCCTACCGGCAGATTTTACTTGAAAATAACTTTTCAGTGTAAAATTATGTCACTAGGTTAACATACTAAATTGCTGCTAAGTATTCAGAGGTAAAATCTGGAGGTAGGTTCAGAAGTCCCTTTGTTTCCCTGCTTCCTAAGTAGCCAACTCTGATTACAGGAGAAATGCCATGCTCAGAAAATCTAGAGGGGTCACAGTTGTTGTGGCCCCCTGTCATTCACTGGGACATCTCAGGCTTTAGATGGAGCCTTTTCCTGATCATCCCTTATTTCTGAGAATATTTTTAGCCAAATCTTGTCCATCTTTCAAGGACTCCCCTCCCAGTGAATCTGTTGCCAGTGCCTACAGGAGTGCCTGCACATGGTAGGTGCCCAGTCAGTGTCTGGATAAGGGGCCAGCTGTTCCAGCCCAACCCTCTTCCTTAAATTGCTTTACCTACTATACTTGCCACACACTTACATGCCACTCAGCTCTCCAGTTTTTGATTATGGGGAGTGTGTACACATGTGCATGTCTTCTCTTACCAACTTCTAACTCTTGATGGCAAGACTGTGACTCATACTTCTTCCCTGTCCTCTGTGGACAGCAGGTGCTCAGATAGTCTCATTTTTCATTGCTCTCTCTCCTTTCCCTGAACTCCACACTAGATAATTAGAAGCAGTCATACTTTCCTCAAGCAAGAAAGTTAGTGGCAGTCCCTAAGAGTCATGTTAATGAGGGGTGTGGACAGAAGATCAGCAAGAGCCCTAGAACTGAAAGTAACTTCTTGACTTTGAGAGGATACTGAATCACTTTTACCAAAATAGAGAGTAGGGAAATGGTAAAACTACTTATATAAATAAGGCATGACTTGGCACCTGGTGTATATTTCACATATACTAGTCAAACTCTAGACAAGCTATGCTGTCCTGAATAGTAGCCACTAGATTCATGGTGGCTGTTTAATACAAGACATTCAGCTCCTCCCTTACACTAGCTACAGTTAGGTGCTCACTGGCCACTGGATTGGACAGCACAGGTATAGAACATTTCCTTCACTGCAGAAAGTTCTGTTTGCCAGCACAGTATTGAGCTTGCTAATATAAACATTTTAGAAACCAGAATAATGAATTTTGATTATTAGAGGTTAAAAGTAGACATGCAGAATATATCATAATGCAAATGATGGATAAAAATTTTGGGTGAGAAGTAGTTGAGGACCTATTTCTAGGATTCTAAAAGCAGCCAAGATTTCTGTGTTTCGTCCTAAGTCTCAGTGTTCTTTATAGTGCACCCACTATGTCAACAAAAAGAGCAATGGTAGATTGAGGCTTTGGAAAAAGTGAACGCAATGGGTATTGAGCACACAGATGCATTTCTGTTATAGACAAGTATATTAATTTAACCATTGGAAATGTCTTTGAACAAAGGTATTGCTTTTCAAATCAATAGTTCTATCACGAAATAATTAGGTGTCATTTTATTATTTAAAAAAGCTTCAGCAACATTAAATATTCTTTCAAATCTGTCATAATAATGAAAAAAAGTTGTCTCCCAACAATACTCTTTGCCCGCAAAGACAAGTTTGGTTTTATGAACGGCATATTTGGAGAGATTGCTCTAATAAGTGTGTTAGCAGAATTTTGTTTAAGACCCCTGATGACCTTGTATGATATCCTGCCTCTTTGAGTGCAGGTGGAACCTGGGAATATGATCCATAATTAGTTACAGAGCAAAAGGTTATCTGGGGACAGCATATCTTATGATGTGAGCCCTTTAAACAGAGTTTTCTCAGGCTGGTAGCAGAAGTTAGAAACACAAAGCAAGAGGAGGCATGAAGGAAAGGACCTTCATAGCCACAGGAATTGAATCTAGCCAAAAACCTGGGTGAGCTGGCAAGTGGATTCACCTTCAGCAGATAAAAGCCCAGGCTGCTGACACTTGATTCCAGCCTGAGACTATGAGCAGAGAACTGTCAAACCTGCGTGGACTTCTGTGAGATATGAAATGGGTATCTAAATTTGTGGTGATGTGCTATGCAACAATGAAAAATGAATACAGTATTTAAAAGGTGAAGATTCCCTCTAGTATGGGTGATATTTCTCAGTAAATGCGTGAGTTAAGTCTTACTAGCATATCCTATATCTGGGCCTCAGCAGGAATTTGTCTTCACTGGAAGTTTGTTGACAAAAACTCGTGAGATCTTAGTAATATTTCTAAAGGAACTGCTAGAATGAGACTGTAGGAGTAGAATCCAAGTAGTGTATAAGGAATCTTTCTCCTGGAATTATTACTTTATATTGATTTAGTCTGTTCTAAGCCTGTCAGTGTATTATGAATGATGAACAGTGGTATTTTAGGTAAGATATTAAAAAGGAAAAAACCCTTCTACCTTTATGTAGAGATCATATGATCTACTTTGCATTGAAGTATTAGTTTTAAACCAAAACCTTGTCTAAGCACAGATCAAATCCTGTATGTCCCCGCCAAATTTTTGTGCTCTGTGAGTTTTCCAAAATATCTCTGCTTCCAAGCCATTAACTGCAAGTGAAGTTTTTATTTTGGCTTTCCCATTAATTTTTATGTTCATTTTTATTATAATGCCATACATACTCTTGATGTAAGTAGAGCTAAAGGAAAGAATGGGAGGCTAACACTGTCTTGTCAGAAATTGGGGTTGCCCTGGTTGGTGTGGCTCTGGACTGAGTGCTGGCCTGCAAACTGAAAAGTTGTAGGTTTGATTCCCAGTCAGGGTATATGCCTGGATTGCAGGCCAGGTCCCCAGTTGGGGGGGGGGGGGTGACAAGCAATCGATTGATGTTTCCCTCACTTTCTTCCTCCTTTCCCCTCTCTCTAAAAATAAAATCTTTTAAAAAATAGAGGTCATAATCATATCTTAGTGTTAAGGGAACTTAACGTATTCCATCTATTTTATAAAAAAGACAACTTTTCCAAGTTACGTGTGGAAAGTTTAGTTTGGTGTAAATTTTAATTATTAATCTTAACACGTATGCCGTAACTACTGTCCTTATTTTATTTCTTTAATGTATGTGGACATATAACACTAATAAAGCTATTACCACAGTATTTTTTTATATAAAAGAATTTGTTACATACGTATGTATATCAATGCCTATGTATAAACTCTTCTCACCTGAAACGCTGCTCTCACCAGCATGGATGCTAACTAGATCACTTTCAAAGGAACAAACAAGAATAAGCTGGCACCCAAGAGTGCATTTGAGTTGAGAATCTGAAAGACATTGTTCAAGAAACTAAGTGTTGAATGGACTGTACTTTGTGCTATTCCCAGTGTTGTTAATGTTGCAGTGAAAATGTTAAGAGTCATGTACTAAAATAAGGAGTGTTTTGTGGAGTGTACTCTCAGACATTGCTCCTATGGCAAATTGCCCTGGAATCAAAGGTTCGGTATCCTAGTGAGATGAGCATTCTAATGCTATTGAAATTGGGTGAAGATACCCCTTGAATACATTTTCTGAGCCTTAAAAATGGCTGATATCGCCAGAACTGTAAGATGCACTGCCAGCAGATTTGATACTTTTCATTTAAGTATAGACAGTAATGTTTTCTAGGAAAGATTTAGAAATCAGCTGATTAAACAATCACGTTTCATTCATAGAATGAAAAACTAAGTGTTTCTCATTGAGAACACTGTTGGGAAAGATGGTCTTTGCATTTGGGGATATTTCTGGAAGTAATCCTTGGAGAAGCTGCCTGAGGAACTAATTTTACAGGTTGTACATTGTTTTTTGTCTTTAATGTATTGTACATATTTCTTTACAGTGTCTTCACTGGTTGAATGGGTAATATCTGTAGTAATATCTTGGGTACCTGTTAGACTTTTAAAGGAAGATTATTTATTTTCAAATATGCTGCTGTAACTTAATAACTGGTCCTGTTGACTGTGCCTTTCCATCACTGTTTGTGCCACAGGCGTTCATGTGTATTGAAATAAGGGAGTTTAAAAAGCCATGCTGAATTCAAGAATCCTAATAAAACTAGGTACGACTTAATGGGCAGCAAGTTTTTTGTTTTTATTGGTTTTGTTTAACACTGATAAAATAATAGTTTACTTGAACTATTTTCAGTTGGAAAAATGGCAGTGGATCTTCTATGTGGATTTTAGAAAATCTTTTAAAAAAAAGTCTTGATGTTAAGACAGTGGTTATCAATGTGATAAGATACTTGCTTATATATTACGTGCACTATACAGCTTCCAAATTAAGTGTAGGCAAATGGGCCTGTTCACTCTAAGTATTGTGTTTTTGTTTTGTTTTGCAAAGAAAACGCTATTAATAATATTTAGAGCCTGAGGGTTAGACTAAGATAACATGCCCCACATAAATGTTTAAAATATAACCCATTACAAAATGGAGGCAGCATATGTAACTTGTCAGTAACAGTGGGGGGAGGGGGAGCATATTATTACCATATTCTCCAAAAAGAAGCCCTTTCGGGAACATGTATAAAGGACCCATGAATAAAGTCAAAGAGGGGTAGGATTGAGGGTGGGAGGTAGAGGTGGATTGGATGGGGCAGGGGAAAGTGGTGGTGGGAATATGGAGACAATGGTATTTGAACAACAATTAAAAGATTTTTTAAAAAAAGCTCTTTCAAAAAGAATTCGTATTAAAAATCTTTACCTTTCTAACTTCCTCATGCCTTCAGTATTTTGTATATCATTTTTGTGTGTACAAATATTAGAATAAAATACATGCTTTAGTTTAAAAAATTTATTATAGAAATGTACATTTAATTAGTTTTAAGGAATGTATTTGACAATAATGTTAACATATATTTCCTCAAATTCACAAACTTTACACCTCTAAGATATCTACAATGAGTTTACTTACAAGTTTCACAAGAAATCACTTCACCAATACTGTTGACACAGTTAAGATGTAACAGTCTCTTTTTTTTTTTTTTCATTTTACTCTGTACTTGTAGAAGGAACACATTGTGTGTGTGAAGTTCCATCCTAGTGCTAGTGATAGCCCGTAGATCAGAATGAGAGGTGCAAATGGATAGAGAAGAATTACCGTATTTTTCAAAAATGGCAAAGCTGGAAAATAAAGTATAAATTCATTTTTTAAAGAGGAAATATGACTAATAAGTGAACATTCTGAAAGATAGCTTTTACTACAACATGTGGGGCCAAAGAGGCATATTTTCAATCAATAAGATGATGCTATGTAGCCAGAACCATACTACTGAGCTGTACTCACAGAAACTGTTCTAAACTACAGGGAGTCACCAGGAAAGCAATCAAAAATTCACTCAGAGAAGCCACAGTCTTCTGATTGTGCTAGCTATCTAGCACAATTATATGACATGCTAATCATATGACATGACATAAACATCTTCCCTTAACTGGAGAAAGGACTCCCTATCCAACCAAACAAGGTATTACAACTTGAGGGGATTAGGTGGCCTCTGGCAAAGCAGCCAAGAGGGTGAGGACAGTTCTGACCAGTGCAGCCAGTCATAAGTGAGTAATGGTTTGCATTTAAAGTCCTAATCATCCAGAGTGACAGAAAAGGAAGGGTTAAAAAAATATGTAACATTTATAAGTTATAAGATCTCCAGATTTAATTCAGCTTTGATTTCTTAACAAATGAATAATATAAATATGTTTCTCATTCATATTAAAATGAACTGATTGATAGCAGGATTTAACAATAAATTTGCAAACACACCCTCAGGTCAGTAGAAGTTGGGTGGGCCTGATCTTCTGGAATCATTTACAGAACCATATAGTGATCATAAAAGTGGAAAATGAGGCAAAAGTTTTAAAATTCATCCCACCAACCCTTTCCTCTCTCTAACCTATCATTGGTGACCTAGAACCTGAGAGTCTGGGAAAGAGAAACTGGTCATGGGTTGGTTCTAGTAGGTAACTTGGAGATTAATATGGTTTAACATGATTCCCTGAAATGATAAAATTTGTTACACACGTGCCATGCTGCTTTTGAGAAGAGTGGCCACGACCAGGTTACTTATTTCTCTCTCTGTGTTTGTTTCCTCATTTGAAAAATGGGGATAAATACACCTATATTATATATAATTATGAAGATTAAATGACATAATCCATATAAAATACTTGGGACAGTGCTCACAAGGGCTCCATAATCGTAAGCTAATTGTATTAGTGTTACAACTTTCCCCCACCCTGCTATGTTCTCAGACGACCACAAAAATTAATTACTTACCACTGTATCCCAGGAAGGTTACATAGATATAATAGCCAACTGCAATCAACCATAAGGTATTTCCAACCAAATATCCAATAAATGTGTCTGTTAGGATGACATCTGGTAAAGAGATGCAGACAATGACTCACTTTTCACTGCATTCAACAGACTTTTGAATAATAGTTTAAGAAGTAACTGTTACTTACGGTTGATGAAAAAAAGTTGGATAAAATGCAGAATGAGTAGGAGAGGATAAAAAGCATTCAAATGCACATCGAAGGCATAGCCCCACTCCACATCACAGTCTCTGCTCTGTCGTTTCACTAAATACTTGTTAGAGATAAACCTGAAGAGCAAAATTAAAGTTTCTTTCATCATACAATAAAAATTCTATAAATGTTTGCTGACTGCCTTCTGTGTACCAAGCATTATTTCACACGCTGGAGTTAGAGCAGTAAACAACACAGACAAAAATCTCTACCTTCAATCTTGTGGGAGCAAACTAACAATAGAGTATAAATATTGTTACATGGTACTATGGAAAAAACAGGAGAGAAAAACAGAGAAGCCCTGGCTGGTGTGGCTCAGTGGACTGAGTGCCAGCCTGCAAACCAAAGGATCGCCTGTTCGATTCCCAGTCTAGGGCACGTACGTGCCTGGGCTGCAGGCCAAGTTCCCAGTTGGGGGCATACGAAGGGCAACCAATCGATGTATCTTTTGCACATCATTTCTCTTCCTCTCTTTCTCCCTTCCCCCCTCTAAAAATTAATTAAATTGTAAAAAAAAAACCCCAAACAGAGAATACACAGTTGAAATGCAACATTACATATGATGGTCAAAAGAAAGTAACACCTGGGTGAAGACCCAAGGGCAGTGACAGGATTTTCCCGGAGCAGGGAGCAGAGCATTCCAGGCAGGGGGAGGCCAAGTACAGAGGTGGAGGAGATGGTGCAGTACGGAGCAGGCGGCAGCATGCCTGCATGTTTGAGGACTGGGTCCAAGTGAACAGAGTAGCAGGAAATGGTATCAGAAAAGAAATAGCCAGATCTTACAGACAGTCTGTGACCATTTTAAGACCTCTGTATTTTACTTTAGGTGAAGTAAATCACTGGATTTCCCATTAGAAAGACTTACTGTTTTGACCAGGTTCCTCCAGCTGCCACTCCAAGAGCAGACTACAGGGACAAAAGTGGAAGTGGGACAGTGGGATGAGCTATAGTTAGAAGGCAGCACCAACAGGATTTAAGTACTAGAGGTAGAATATGAGGGGAAAAAAATCAAGAGTGACAGATTGTTGCTTTAAACAAATGAAAGATTGAGCTGCCACTGACTGAGGTGGGAATGGCTGCTGAAGAATGGTTTGGCGCAGGAAGGAGATTGCAGGAGTTTGGATTTGGATCTGTTATGTGAAAGATGTCAATTAGTACAGAATAAAAAATTATATATAAAGGCTAGAGTTTATTTATCCCTGACCAGTGTGGCTCAATTGGTTGGGTGTTGTCCCACAAAGTGAAAGGTCAGTCCAATTCCTGGTCAGGGCACGTGCCTGGGTTGCAAGTTTGGTCCCTAATCAGGGTGTGTATGAGAGACAATCGATGTTTCTCTCCCTTTCTCCCTCCTTTCCCCTCTTTCTAAAAATAAATAAATAATATCTTTTTAAAAAGTCTTAAAAATCTAGCCTTAAGAAAAATTATTCAAGCTTATGCCACTGTTCCACAACATGGACTATGAGTTTAGTTAAATTATGAATAAACGAGAAGTAAAATACTGGCTACTGGCCTAAGACAGAGCATAGTAACAAGACCTTGAACTCATCTCCTCCCACAAACACACAGAATTTACAACCATAGAGCAATTCCCCCTAAAGAAGAATCAAGGGCTGACTAAACAGCTTCTGCACAATAAACGAAGACAGACCATACAGAAACAGTAGAGAGACAGAGACATGGCACTGGTACAGTGGGAACCCCACCCCCAACACAGCAACCTGAACTAGGGAGGGTTTCACTGAAGGGCCCACACGCAGACTCACCCATCCTGAGACATGGTGAAAAGCGGTTTAGAAGGCACCTATCTGCCAAAAGGGAGAGAAACTGTGGAAACTGTGGGAACTCTCTCTAGTGTCAGAGGTACCACAGAGTGCCAACTGTTGCCCTTCCCCACCTCTTCATCACAAGAGTAGGATGATGACCCAGGAGCTCTAGCAAGGCCAGCTTTCAAGCACACAGCATCTCCTTCCTTGGCTTGTCCCCAGGTCTCCCAGTAAACAGCTCCAGCAACCACTTCCAGCTGACCTTTAAGGTGACCCCGGCACAGTTTGCCCCTGGAACTTCCCATGGCTCATACATGCTCTAGTTGTAGCTCCCACCCCAGTGTGGCTTCCCTGGGACTTCCACAGACTAGGCTGGGTTCAGCTTGCCCCCAGGACTCCCCACAACCCAAACCTGTTCCAACTAGAGCTCCAACTGACCTGCCAAGACAGTTCTGGTGTGAATTGCCCCTATACCAACTAAACTACAACAAAAGCTCCAGCCCCTGGCGTGGCTTGTCCCAGGACTCTCCGCAGTCCTAGACCCTCTGACTACACCTCAAGCCAGCCTGTCAGCAAGGTCCCAGTGAGGCCCAGCCCCAGGAGGCCTGGGCTGGCTCCAACTGTATGTAGTCCTAGCTGCTCTGCCAAGACAGCCCTAGTGCAGCTTGACCTCAGGGCTCCCTACAGCACACAAACACTCCAGCTGCCAAAGATACCCAATGTATGCAGTTTACAAAGGGGAAGCTCCTACACAAGGCCACACCTTCAAGACTGGGAGAGGTTCCTGTTTTGCCTAATTCATAGAAAAAAAAAAAAAAACAGAACCAAAATGAGACAAAAAATATGTTCTAGAATATGCCCATGAGCTGAAAGACAAGGAAATGGAAATCACCCAATTGAACTAGCAAACAGAGGAAAAAAAGAATAAAAAAAAAAAGACAGACTGACCTCTAGTCAGGATGGTCAGGTAGGTCAACAGGTCAACTTGGAGCTCATCAACTCCCACAATCACACCAAAATCACAAGTACATTACAGAACAACCATGGAGAACCTCCTGAAGCCTAGCTGAACAGAACTGCTATAATTAAAGATAAAAAACATCAGGGACATCAAGACTGCAGGAGGGACCAGGCAGGTCCCATAAACGTGTTGTGGCAATTACGAAATGTGAGGGATACGCAGCTGCGGAGGCCTGCCCTGAGGAGCGAGGAGTCACAACCCCACACTCGACTCCCCAAACAGAGGCACCCAGTGCTGGGAAGGAGTCCTCATAATGGCATTACACTAGGCTGCGCAAAACAGCCAGGACTGTGTCCAAAGGCAAAGGGGCTGTCACAGACTAAGGCTGCTTTTAAAGGGACTATGCAGATTTACTAACTCATGAACTTAAGTGCAGGAGCTGCAACTCAAAGAGTGCCAGAAACACATAAAGAGGAGTGGAACTGACTAACTTTAGGGTGAAGGCTGGAGGGGCAGGGGTTGGGACAGCTCTCACCAGGCACGAAGTACTGGCAGGTGCCCTTGTTTCTTGGTTGATCTCTCCTCCCACCCAATCAGCCCTGTGCACACAGGCACCAAATCCATGGTGCTCTTCATAAAACTGACTAACACTGCTTTACCCTGATCATTCCTAAGATCCCATTCAACTTGCTCGTTAGGCCCTTGTCTCTTCAAGCCACTCCTCCACATAAACTGCCTGCATTGGCTTGTGCTGCAGAAGTTCTGCAAACCTCAAATAAGCAGCAGCCAGCCTCCGCAAGCATTGTAGCTCTTCCCAAGAGACGCCAAGCTCAGTACCAGCAGAAACCAGCCTCAACTTACAATCTAACTTCCATCCGGTGGCCCCAATCCTGGCATAAGAGGCAGCCAGTCTTGGCCTGTAACGTAGTTCCAACTAAGAAGCCACAAGCCAAGCAAAAGTGGCAGCTGATCTCAGCCCACATTGTAGTGCCCAGCAAAGGGTCCTAATCATAGCACAGTGGCAGGGAACCTCGGTTTACTGTGTAGCCTCTCCCAAGCATCTCCAAGCCTAGCACAAATAACACCCAACCGCAGATCACTTTGCAGTACCTACCAAGAGGCACCAAACCCAGCACAAGTGGTAGCTCACCTTGACCCGCACTGGAACCATTCCCAAGAGACTCCAGCCCCAAAACATCTCCAGACCACACGAGAGAATCACCCAACCAGCTTCACAAATGGTATACCCAAAGGGCAGCCTAGGCTGGTATCACAGCTACATTGGGTGCTAAATCAACACCCAATCTGTAGGGTCAGGTCCCATACAACAGCTCGTCCACTGCAGTCACATCCAACCTTCACAGTCAGCCAGCCTGAGGGTCAACCCCACCCAATGACATACCACCAGAAAGAGATACAACTACAACAGGAGGGCACATACACCCTTGGTGCAATGGGCTCAAATGACTAGAAAGACTGCAACACTGTCCACTTCCTATTTCTAAGGCCACCCTAAAAAGACCAGGAGACATATCATATCGACCTAGCACATGGAAATAAACACAGGAAGTCAGGCAAATGAGGAAACAAGTCCTAAATAACAGAAAGGGTAAAACTCCAGAAAAAACTAAATCAGATGGAAACAAGCAATCTATCTGATGCAGAGTTCAAAACACTGTGCAGTGAACTTGGAAGAAAAACATATGAACTCAGGGAGAACTTCAAGATATAGAGACAAAAAAAAACATAAACAAGAACCAATCAGAAGTAAAGAGTACAATAACTGGAATGAAAATACACTGGAGCAAATCAACATTATGTTAGATGAAATAGAAGATCAAATCAGTGACGTGGGAGATAAGGTAGTACAAAACTCCCAATTGGAACAGCAAAAAAAAAAAAGAATCTTAAAATATGACGATAGTTTAATAGACATGTGGGACAACATCAAGTCTACCAATTTTCAAACCACAGGGGTCCCAGAAGGAGAAGACAGAAAAAAACAGATTGTAAACATATTGGAAGAAATAATGATGGAAAACTACCTAACCTTGCAAAGGAAACATACATACAAATCCAGGAAGTGCAGAGTCCCAAACAAGATAAACCCAGAGGCCCACACCAAGACACGTCATAATTAAAATGCTAAAGGTTGGGAAAAAAAGATTTTTAAATATAGCAAGAGAAAAGCAATCAGTTACGTGCAAGGAAGCCCCTACAAGATTATCAGCTGATATCTTAACAGAAACTCTGCAGGCCAAAAGGAAGGAACTAGCACAAAATATTCAAAGTGATGAAAAGCCAAAACCTACAAGATCACTCTAACCAGCAGAATATGATGTAGAACTAAAGA